TTTCATTTACAAAATTTCAAGTTCTTTTAATTTAAAATTGAGCACAAAAATAACAATTGATATCAAATTTCAAAATACTTTGATTTTATAAATTTTAATTTTTGGCCTAAATTTGAACGTTTACGCATGTGGTTTAAATGAAAATGATATCTCTCTAACAATTGATATCAAAATTTTCAAATGCATAGCATTTTTGGAAAACTTTATGCATATGCACTTAATTTTAACAATTGATATTGATATCAAATTTCAACAATTGGTATTGCATAAAGTATTTTAGTCTTGGATATATTGAATTTCATGTGCTACTAACATGTTTTTTTTTGTTGAAATTCAATTTGTTTAAGTGTCTGTTCTTAAAGCTAAATTTTATTTGGAATGTATTTATTGAGGGGAGCTTGATTTTTCAAATGATTTTTTAAAATGTAAAATTTACTACTTACTCTCCATAGTTATTTTAAACTTCAAGATCGAATTATTTTTGATATAACAAAAAGGGGGGAGTTTAGTTTGAAAAATTCAATTTTTTAATGAAAAATGGACTAGTATCTTTTTCATTAAACATTTTATCAAGGGGGAGTTTTTTGCCAAAAATAATTTTTCAAATGTTTTGTTATATCAAAAAGGGGAGATAGTTAACTATGTTTCGATATACAATTTAGGCAAATGGTTTTTGGACTTGAATTGAATTTACAAAATGTATTTGGACTTAATTGAATTTATTCAAATTTACAAAAATAATTCAAAGTTCTTTTAATTTAAAATTGAGCACAAAAATGTTTTTATGAATAGTAATTACTATTTGAACAGTAAATTACTATTTGAACAGTAAATCACTGTTTGAACATTAACCCGAGGCTCAAAAAATTTCAGTATGTTAAAGGGGAACCGATTCCCCCCAAGGGGGTACCAATTCCCTCACTGTTCATCAGCCCAACGGTCATAATATTTGAATATTATGAAGGGGTATCGATTCCCTATGAAGGGGTACCGATTCCCCCCATTCTGGGTAGTCTATTTTTGCAGAAAAATCATTCCCAAACGGCTCCAAAACATCCCCAACGGCTAGATATGACTTCAAACACATTCCAAGCTATAAATACAAGCTATGGACACTTGAAGAAATAATATAGAACAACTATCCAAGCAATCAAACACAAGAGAAGAATTTTTCATTCTTATTTCATCTTTCTCTTGTATATATTTTGTTCTTGTGAGCTCAATCTTGTAAACACCTACCTTAGAGAGGTTTTCTTGTTTACATTTCTTATCCTTTTGTAAAGGGGAAAGGTTCTAGCTTAGCAAGTGTAAAAGCTAGGGAAAGGTTCTAGTTTAGCCCGGAAAAACTAGGGAGTTTGTAAGGTTACTCTTTATCCTCAAAAGAAAGAACAAATTAGTGAATTTGTTGGAAAATCCTTGGTGAGGAGCTAAGGTAGTGGACGTAGACTTTGATTGAGAAAGTCGAACCACTATAAATCGCTGTGCAATTCTCTATTTTTCAATCTCTTGACTCCCTAAACACAAAACCGTTCCGACCCCTCTTTGCAAACCGTTCCGGTTGTCGATTCGAGCTTCTGAAAATCCTAACACTCATGCATGCATAAACTAAGTGAGTAACCAAATAAAATAAAAACATTAAGTTTAGAGGTTACCCATTCCTTTTTCATGTGTGGCTAGAGCATCTTGAATATCATCATCTTCATCACCATTGCTCCCACACACCTACAAGAGACATTTAAGTAAATTTTGGTATCCAAATTGCTTTGGATCCTTGAACATTAGTTTCAATGCCTCTTGTTCCTTTTGGAACCCATACTTGTCTAATTTTAAATCGCTTTCCTTTCTTTAAAGGCAAGTATGTTCCGTATGACCATGATAATGACAATGTGAACATATTGTCATTATTGAACTAGATGAATTATTTAAAATGATCTCTTTTTCTTTTGTTAAACATTCAAGCTTAACTTTCAAATCGAAATTTTCTTTTTAAATAATTTCAAATTTCATTTTTGAAAGCTCTAAATCCTTCTTCAAGATTTCATTTTTATTTTCAAAATCCATTTTTGTTTCTAGAAGAAGTTTGTTTAATTTGAAAATTTCTTTTTCAAAGTTTTCAGATTTTATTTTTGAAAGCTCTAACTCCTTTCTCAACATTTCATTTTGATTTTCCAAGTCTGTTTTAGCTTTCAAAAGAATATCATTTTTAGCAATAAATTTAGAAATCAATTTATTGTATTTAGAGTTCATGGTCTCAAACTCCAAAAATAATTCATCATAAGCATCTGGTAACTTTTTAAAAGATTTTGAATTTAATCTATTTGAGTTAGAAGATACCTTTGGCTCTGTGAGAGCTAATAGAGACATCACCTTTATTGGTTCTTCTTCTTCCTTGTCTCTATAGATCTCCTCAAGCTTATCCCACATCTCCTTGACATTTGAACAAAGAAACTCCTTTATAACATTAGATCAATTGCACAACACAATATGTGCATAGCCTTGTATTTTGTTGAGCTTTATTCCGTTCTGATCACTCCACTTCTTTGCCTTCTTTGTATGAGAGGAATATCCTATCTCGATTATCATCCAAGCTTCCATATCATTTGCTTGGATAAATATCATCATGAACCTCTTCCAATGACTATAATTTGTTCCATTGAAGTAAGGAGGGACGTCAATTAGTCTGGACTCTTCCATGGAGAATGAACCATAAGTGACGCCATCTTTATCGATTTAAATCTTCTCGAATCGACTCAAGAGGTGGTTAAACCTTCAAATGAGTGAGGCTCTGATACCATTGTTGAGTTAATCGATCGATGGAATTAGCCAAGAAGGGTAAATTGGTAATAAAAATTTTGGTGGAAGCTTTTGCAGAAAATTGAAAACATTTGCACAGCGATTTGAGTGGTTCGACTTTCTCAACCAAAGTCTACGTCTACTACCTTAGCTATCCACACTAAGGATTTTCCAACAAATTCACTCATTTGTTCTTTCTTTTGAGGACAAAGAGTAACCTTACAACTCTCTCAAGAATTATACCCCAAATTCTTTAGCACACTCTTTTTCAAAGAGAAATACACAAATTTGCAAACTTACAAGGAAAACCTCACAAGGTAAACCTCACAAGGTAGATTGTTTGCACAATTCTAGAATAAGGAAAGAACACTCAAGGATAAATACAATAGAGCACAAATGGTGTTCTTGAAAGCACAATGAATATTGAATGAAAAATAGACTTGAAGTGCTCAAACAATGAGTTTGATGCTTTCTCTTTGATTCTCTCTCAATTCTTGATAATTGTTGTTTCTTGTTATTGATCAGTGGCTTCTAAGCTTGTTTAAATACTCCTTCAATTGATTCTGAACGTTGGTGATGATTAGTGAAGTTAATGGAGCCGTTTAAGTGTGAAAACAATTAATAAAACTGCTTGGAGCGTGGGGGGAATCAGTACCCCTCATAGGGAATCGGTTCCCTAAGTGTAAAATTCTAATATTTCGACCGTTACACAGGGGGGAATCGATACCCCCTTGGGGGGGGGGGGAATCAGTTCCCTCCGAGCATTCTATTTTTCTCGGAGCCAAACCATTCAAGGGGAATCGGTACCCCTTTGGGGGGAATCGGTTCCTTCTGGACAATCTGGAATATTTGGCTTTGAAATGGTTCGAAATACTTTGTAAAATTGTTTTGAAATTATTTTAAGATTAAAACTTAATTTTACACTTGAGTAAGGATTAAAAATGACATTTGAAAGATTTGGAGTAATATTTTGATATTCGAATAATTATATCGAATATACTTAGAAAATCTTTTGGAAAATCTTAAAATTCATTTAACTTAATTTGTTATATCAAAATATCAAAATGTTTTCAACAATTAACAATCATTTTCAACGGTTCGGTTAACCGAAACATTTTAGTATTAACAGTTTGGTTAATTAATATGTTAAATATAACGGTTATATCGATTAACAGTTACGAGTTTTTTTTTTTTTTTGCACACTCTAGTGGACATTAGCTTTTCCTAAAGCTGATTACTAATTGAATATAATAAATAAATTTGATGATTATGTGATAAGTTAATATATAAATATGTAATTAATGGTAAAAAAAGTAAAAAAATTAATATATCGTTAATATTTTTGTAAATTTTTTATTTAATATATCTCAAACATAATGACAACAAATTATAATATAATTCTGCTTATAAAATAGTTCTTTTACGTTGTAGTACATAGAATAATTACTCTTATTATAAATATGTATTTGATTTCTTTTATACAAAAATATATCTTTGATTAATGATATGATCTTTACATAATTAAAAAATCAAATAAATATTCTTATTATAACATATAAAATAATGATTATTTAATCTCAGATAATATTATTCGAACATGAATCATGTAAAAAACATTCAAAACATTATATTTTAAACCTTTTATTGCCTGAACATTTAATTATTATTTTTTTCTCGCGGTTGACATTTTTTTCACCATGAGCAACTATTGTTTGCAATACATATGAGTACCGAAATGTTCTCCTACCTCAATTTTTTATTATTTGTAGGTTGATTTCCTTGAAAATTCTCTCGAAATCAAAGAAATTTAAATCAAATTTTTAATTTTATGATGGATCAATCCACAATCTTCAACGTTTAATTAACCTAAAAATTGAGATATATTACTTTTTATCGATCTATCCAATATTCGAATTTGAGTAAAAATATGGATGTGAGAAGAAAGTTTTAGGAGTCTCTTTGCATAAACTTACCAAAAAATGAACTTCATTAAAGACTTATAATAAAGTAAAATTTAATGATAAAATTAAAAAATTTAAAGTTGATTAAATAGGATCTGAAAATCAAATGACTATATGCGTAGTTTACCCAAAAGAAATTTTGCGTTTACTCTACTCAAAATTAATATAGTGGTAAAATTATACTTTAATCGACACAAAAAAAGTACAGTTCATTTTGACCCTGAAGGAAATTTCCAGCTTAGCCCCGGTTCCAAAGTTCTGGTTGTTGGGGTCTTCAGTTTCCACGCCACACCTCTCTAGTGGAGCTAAAAGCAAGAGGATTAATTATTCTTAGTTTCGCCAAGTTTTTGGGTTAGTAGTTTGGAGTGGACGGACGGCACTGGAATTTGCATCTCCGGTGGTCTCCTTGTTCTCCCTCGTCTGCTCTCAGGTCATCTCAATTTAAAGAAATCGAGATGGAAGTTATTGTGTCAAGTGTTGCTGATACTGCGCTCTCCGCTTGCTTCCGCTCCCTATGCGAAAATCTGTCGTCCCCCGACTTCCTCAGATTCACACGCGACGAGCAACTCGCAGCCGAAATGAACAAGTGGCAGAAGCTCTTGCGTCAAATGAATGCCTCGCTCGAGGATGCCGAAGAGAAGCAAATCACAAGCCCTGCCGTCGAACACTGGCTCGACGAATTACAGCATGTTGCTTTTGATGTCGAGGATGTCGTTGACGAGCTCACCACCGAGGCTTTGCGGCGGAAACTAACGGAGCACACTCGGCAGCCTTCGGCAAGCACTAATAAGGTATGGAAGTTTATCGTCCCATCGTGTTTCCGTGCTATCAATATGAATATTATTAAGTTTGATGCCGAGATCAAACCGAAAATACAAGAAATTACTGCAAGATTGGATGAGTTGGTGGTACAAAAGAGGATTTTGAAGTTAGAAGAGATTGTTAAAGGTGGGTCTGAGAAGGTGCTTCAGAGAGTCACTACTTCTCTTGTTGATGAGTCTCGTGTTTATGGTAGGGAAAGTGATGCAGATGCCGTTGTGAACTTGTTGATGATGGATGGCGGAGAAATTGGTGAAGGCAAAATCGGTGTGGTTTCGATTTTAGGTATGGGAGGGTTAGGGAAAACTACTCTTGCTCAGTTAGTTTACAAGGATGTTCGAATCGAGACTTCATTCGAGTTGAGAGCCTGGGTTTGTGTCTCCGAGGAATTCGATGTTCTTAAGGTGACAAAGACCTTGATTCATGATGTTGCTTCTGATATCGATGAGTCGAAGGATTGGAATTCACTTCAAGTGCTCGAGGAGGAGTTGCGGGGAAGAAAATTTCTGATTGTTTTAGATGACATGTGGAATGAGAATTATGACCATTGGGATCTTCTATGCAGACCCTTTGCTGCAGGGGCTTCCGGGAGTAAAATACTGGTCACGACTCGGAATGAATCGGTTGCGCCTAGCTGTGGGGGATGCCGGCACCATTTGAAGGAACTGTCGATTGATGATTGTCTCTTGATATTAACCTGTCATGCTCTTAGAGCCAAGAATTTCGATGAATACCCGAATTTAAAAGCCGTTGGCGAGCGGATAGTGGAAAGGTGCAAAGGGTTGCCACTTGCCGCTAAGACCTTGGGAGGACTACTTAGGACTAAAGTGAATCAGGGTGAATGGGAGGACATACTGACGAGCAAGATATGGGATTTGCCTGACAAAAGAACCGGCATAATGCCGGCTCTGAGATTGAGCTACCTTCATCTTCCTTCCCTTTTGAAACGATGCTTTGCTTATTGCGCCATATTCCCAAAGGATAACGAATTCGACAAGGACGAGCTGGTTCTCTTGTGGATGGCGGAGGGTTTCTTACAACAGCCAAGAGGAGGTGCACGAATGGAGGATTTAGGTTCAAAATGTTTCAACGAGTTACTCTCGCGATCGTTTTTCCAACAATCGAACAGCAACCAAACGCAATTTGTGATGCATGACCTCATAAATGACTTGGCTAAATCCGTTTCCAGAGATATATGCTTTAATCTCGAGGACATGGATATGCTTGAGGGTGATATGTTATGCATGGCTGTTGAAAGGATTCGTTATTTAGCATTCACTCGTAAACAATACGATGTCGCAAAAAGATTCGAAGTCCTCCGTCAAACGAAGAAATTGAGAACGTTGGCTGCATTACCTACTTGTATGCCGACTTGGGCATCTTGTTGCTATTTGAGTGGTGATGTCTTGCAGAAAATGCTGTCAAGGTTGAGATGCTTAAGAGTACTATGTCTGAGTGGTTATTCCATCCGTGAGCTACCGAATTCCGTCGGTCATTTGAAGCAATTACGCTACCTGAACTTGTCTCGCAGTCGAATTAAACGGTTACCTCAATCTGTGGGTTCGCTTATCAACTTGCAAACGTTGAAGTTGCACGGCTGCACAGAACTTACTAATTTGCCACGAGTTATCGAAAATCAGGTGAACCTTCATGTTCTTGATCTTGCCGGTACTAGTAATTTACAGGATATGCCGTTTAAGATTGGAAAATTGAAGAATCTTCAGATTTTATCCAAATTAATTGTTGGCAAGGGCATTGGATCTGCTGTTAGTGAATTGAGGGGCTTGTTGAATCTGCGGGGGAAGCTTTCCATCTCGGGGTTGGAAAATGTTGCAGATTTCCGAGATGCTAGCAATGGGAACCTCAAGGACAAGGATGGCTTAACCGAGTTGGATCTGCAATGGAGTGACGAGTCCCTTAATTCTGAAAACGAGGAAGGTCATATGCATGTTCTCGAAAGTCTGATGCCCGGTAAGAATATGGAAAAACTGAGAATTCTGTTCTATGGTGGTAAAATGTTTCCTTCTTGGTTAGGTGATCCTTCATTGACTAACATAGTGTGGTTAGAACTCCTTAATTGCAGAAACAGCATATTACTTCCATCACTTGGGAGATTACCCTCACTAAAAATATTGTCCATAGTAGGAATGGATAGAGTCCAAAAGGTGGGTTTGATGTTTTATGGACATGGTTGTACATGTGTTAAGCCTTTTCCATCTTTGGAAATTCTACGGTTTAAGGATATGTTGGAATGGACGTGCTGGTCTTCTCCTAGCGGAGCTAATGAAGACTCGGGGGAAGAATTCCCTTGTCTCCTCGAGCTTACGGTAGAGAATTGTCCCAAGTTGATTGGAAAGTTACCTGGTCGTCTTCTTTCTCTCGTGAAACTTGTAATCAAGCATTGCCCGAAATTAGAATCTTAATCGATGAGTTTACCGTCTCTTAACGAGTTAAATGTAGAAGATTCCAATGAAGAGTTGTTGGGTAGCATTCTCGGCCCATCCTCTTTAACAGCTGTCACAACCAAGGGTCTGCCTGTACTTCAGCATCTTCAGAATGGGGTTGTCCGGTCTCCGGGAGCACTTAGAGTTCTTTCCATTTCCAGTTGCATTGGATTGACATCATTACAGGCGGCGGGTGATATTTTGCTGAATATTACTGCTGTAGAGCATCTGAAAATTAAGAACTGTTCACGGTTTTCTGAGACAGGTTTCTTTCCCATGCTGAAACATCTTACGCTCAAAGATTGCCAGAGTCTAAAGTTTCTGCCTAGTGCAATTACGATGCTTAGTTGTCCTCTCGAAGAATTGGAGATCGAAGATTGTCCGGCTCTCACATTTTTTGCAAATGGCAGGTTACCGACTGCACTTCGACGTTTGAAAATCAGGTTCTGTGAAGCTCTAGTTTCTCTACCACAGGGACTGATGCAGATCGATAACAGCACAAGCAACGTATCTCATCTCGAGAACTTGGAGATCATCGGTTGCCCTTCTCTCATTTCATTTCCAGAAGGCAAATTTCCCAGCAGCCTTAAAATACTTAAGATATGGAGATGCTTTCGATTGGAACCCCTTTCTGATACGATGCTGCCCAAAAATGGGTCACTCGAGCTCATTAGTGTCTTTAATTGCTCGACAATGACATGCTTGCCCGAGTGCATAAACTGTCTCACGCATCTGACTGAATTGAACTTACACAAGTGTACTGCTCTAAAATACTTCCCTGAAACCGGCTTGCAATTTCCCAACCTGAGAAAACTTGATATCTACGAGTGCAGGAGTCTCAAGTCCCTTCCTGATCAGATGTTAAGTCTCACCTCCCTTCATTATTTAACAATCGGTGAGTGTCCTGGTCTTGTGTCATTTCCCAAAGCTGGCTGGCCTCCTAACCTATTGGCACTCAAGATCTGGAACTGTGAAAATCTTAAGCAACCGTTGTTGGAATGGAACCTGTATGATCTGGCCTCTCTCAGCGATTTGACCATTGCCGGTGCACCTGATATAGTTTCCTTTCCAGATGAAATGTGCCTGCTTCCCACTAGTCTAATGTCTATGTATATATCAAGACTTCATAATTTGCGATCTCTGTCCGTGCGGCTCTGTGATCTGACATTGCTTAAAGAGCTGGAAATCTCCATGTGTCCTAAACTTCAGTGCTTACCGAAGGAAGGCTTACCTGCAGACCTTGGAAGATTTTGCATCAGGGACTGTCAACTTCTGAAACTACATTGTTTGGAAGGTAAAGGGGCATACTGGCCTATGATATCTCACATCCCATGTCTGGAAATAGAATCCACTGATGATTAAGGGTCGGATGTTCTAGTTTTGTATTTTTCTCCAATAGAACTGAAACCGTTCCCGGTCAACCACCGTGCATGGAGACCTTGTTTAGCCAAACTGGGAGACGACTTCACCAACATCTCCCTCAGACTCCCAAATCTACCGGGTGGCTACCCTGTGAACCATTCTCAACCCCCCCCCCCCTTTCTTTGCAATGAGAATATTATATGATTATATTTGTTAATTCTACTGCTTGGACTCATCCAAGTGTTTCTTTTTCATTTACTTTTGATATAGAAAGTAACAGTAGTGTTCTTGGGAGCGGAAAAAAAATATTGATTTCCCTACAAAATTAACAACATTTTTCCTACGACAGACAGCAATCTAAGATTAAAAGTAGATCAAAGGTGATGGATTCATGGGACGCCTTAACTATGAAACTAAAACATCATAGTTCAGCCCAATGATGCAAACTGTCGACGAATCAACACCCATGGAACCAAAAAAGCTTATTGAAAAACTAAAACAGAAAAAGTGCAAAGGGGGACAAGAATGACCGCAGTTACTTGCATGTCAGACGACAATAGGTTGCTCACCTTCAAGCTCGGATATGACTATCAGTAAATCAGTCATTTCTATGGAGAGAGGTTGTCTTTGGAGTTGGGTTAATAACCTGTGGTGCAACGAAGAACCGAATAAGCATTGAAGTAAAACATGTTTAGAATCGAGCAAGAGCCTTGGGCACCTATCGATTGTCCTTCACGTATCCTATCGCAACTTCTTGAGCATGCTCTCTTGGTTAGCTCAGAGAACGATGGGTTCTGTCCTTTCATGTAAAGACCAATATCCTGTCAAGAAACATAGGTAAGTAGCACCTCCACAACGTTTTTCCGAGGTCATTTTTACATGTATGAAGGATTATATCGGTAAGTAACATTGTAGCAGATTACTTAAACGGAAAGTTGCCATTACCTTCACGTATATTTCATTACCTTCAGCATTCAAAATGTCTTTCCATTCCTCATTAAGATCACTGTGCTTGGCCACTGTTATGCAACACATACAGTTATTTTTTTTAAAAGATTAAACATCGAAACAATACGAATATTGCTTATGTAACATCAAGACCTTGAGCTGTTGCGAGACTCATTACTTCCTCGGCTGCAATATAAGTTAGAGATGGCTTGATTCTCATAATCTGCAGGGTTTGATTGAAGCACTTCAACAATACATGAAAAACCTCAAAAATCGAAGATAATGAAATAAGAAAAGTTCAAATTACTTGTTTGCCAAATTTCCAGTAGACTATCTCTGCAAACAAATTTTGCACCTGCAGAACACTCGACAACCATTCTCGAACTAGTTTGTCACGGATATTAAAATTCAAGATCATGAGATTATCGAGGATTACAGTGAACCAAACTTACCGTCACTCCGAGTTTGTTGCAGATATTTTCGGCAAGAAGAAGAGAGTATGCAGATTGCTTGTCTGCTCTAGATGGCTCTGAAAAGTAAATAATTCCTTAAAGGATAAGTTTACTGATCGAAACATCAACTATTAATGATCATTACCTCCTAGAAGACATTCTCTATCAGAAATCACAACAAGGGAAAGCTATAATGATTTCTTCAAGGGTACAAGGTTTAGCTATCCGACAAATCGACAAGTCATATTTCTGTTCCAAAAGGAAAAGATTACGTTTCGGTCCTGCAAACCACACAGTCCATCCTACAGAACGAAGTGATTTGAAGAGACCGGTATATCTGCATGTTAATATCTATTGATGCCAAATTGCAGAGCTTAACTTTTAAATGCGGAGGAACACAACCGTAAAATGTTCAAGTTGACAGACTTCGTCAGTTTCCTTAGGAATTTCATCATCCTTGGGATGGAAGTATATCTGACCATCCCGATAAATACCACAAACAACTGCCTCAAAAGAAACCAACACAAGGAAACAGCACGGAAGTTCTTACCTCTATGAACACAAAGTTAAGCCGAAAGTGTTACCACATGGACACCCCGTCTTATTTTTCTATAAGTCAGTCCTGTTAGACTAGGAAAACGGAAAAGATTGAATACGTTCTCTGCAATAACACGGCACTAGTTAGTGACGGTGAAGAAAGGTAGAGCACAACGACATGGACAACGATACCGAGTTTTATAGCTCGAGCTTAAAGAATCAGAACCATCCTGATATATCTAAGAGTCAAGAAGTAAACAGGACATCATAATCGTTATGCACTTATGCTCTCTGTCTTTCCAACATCACAATAATAACAACTGTCAATGAGATCTTGTGCTTTACTTTTATAAATAAGTGCCTATATATCTTTTTGAGCCCCTTTTGCCGAGAACATTGAACAAATAGTTTAGAAGCGACATTTTCTACTGCCTCTACTTTCAGTCAGGAGATTGACTTTAAGAGCTCACATGTAGTGGAATTTGAAACCTGCATCAGAAAAATGAAGGACCAAAATTAAACTCGACATTTCTCATCGAGTACTATTATTCCCATGGTTATGAAAATGAAAATACCTCGACAATTGTCAGTACAGATTCGACCTTGGGAATAGGTTGAAGTGCTAATACAGATAGAAATGCATCATAATCAATTCCATACCTAATCAGTTAACAAACAGTCATCACTAAACATGAGCGTAGCAAAGCCTGGAAACGTAATATTATTACGTAAATCTTCAACTAAACTTCGCAACATGGTTCTTTGAAAAGAAGTCGATACAGGTCTTACTGGTCTCCTCTTGTAGGCAATATGACAATGGTGCGTGCCTTATTGGCTGCTGCTCTTTGAAATGATTTTGTCAAACTAAGGCTACAACTGCACAAGCAAAAGCCAATGTTTAAGAAATGGAAACTTAATGAAATGAATCGAATAGACTTCGAATCAAATACGTTTTATGAAGTTTGTATGTTTGGGGAGGAGGGCATTGTTCTTGTACCTCTTTGTAAGAAAATCAATATGGTTAAGATCCTTGGCAACGTTGTCAGCTAGTTTGTCCATTTGCTTTCTCGGAAGATCTGACATAAGAAGAATTCTCTGCCTCCTATGAAAATATAATGTGTGCCGAAACGAATAATTATGCATGAAAAAAAGGAAATAAAAAATACGGTGGAGGCATAATGTTTACCTTGCTGTAGCAGTCCCTAAACGCACAGCAAATTCATGAGATCAATCTAGTTGCTTTAGAATGAAAGACATACAACCTTTTAAACCGCAAATGATAATATGATCAGACTCCAAAACTTGCATTTGTGCTCCTTCCCTGAGTTTTTGCATGTTTCTCTGTCACCAAAAAATGAAATTTCAAAGGCATCTATGTCAGCTTATGTAAATGATGAGCTATTAGAAAAAAAAAAGGAAGAGATAAAACGAGCTCTGGTAAGAACTACTTACTCTGAACTGTTCTGTCATTTTGCTTATGTAAATAATGAACTACTTTTGTACAATTCATGGAGTTAGTTTATTCAACGAATTAGATAAGCAGGCAAAAGGTAAGCTTGTATCCACTTATGTCTGATGTAGATGTCGAAATAAGTCATGGACTATCTTTGTTATTGAGTTGACAAACTCTAGTCGCATCAGTCTCGGTAAGAAAAGCGATGACAGAGTTCTAGAGACCAGTTTACTATGGTGATCCTTCACCTGCAAGGATGACAATCCAAGGAAAGACAGCATAATCATAAGAAGATAATGGTTGGGAAAAGAAAGATATCATGAATGCAGGTCTTCATATGAAGTCAGAAAGAACATATTATATCATCAAGAAATAAAATCCTTATTAACTATTTGGAAATTCAAGATTTAGGACTCATCGGAGAACTATTATGCAGGTCCTTCCTAAGGAGTTCATTATTTGAATTATCTGAAACACACTTTGTTAGTTGTACGACGATTGAATAGGTTTTCCTAGATTCATTCTAATTCTAATCCTAATAATTAGGATATTGTAGTAGAGTAAGACTCTACAAGGTAATCTAGTTCTAGTAGTGAACTAACTCCATGAATTGTATAAAAGTAGGCATGTACTCCCGTAAATTAAATAACAATTATCAAGATAAAAGATAATTATTTTCTTCCTATTCTATGGCTTTACGGTTATTTACATGTTATCAGTTGCCGGAGTCGATCCTAAATTTACTCCTACCATCGGGTGACAAACCTCCGATCAGCAGCGCACTTTCGTTGATGTGCCTTCTTCTCTGTCGTGCAGTCCCCATCGCAGCAACACCGTTGGTGAATTCCTCACTGGACCGCCACCTTTGCAGCACGACCCATCCTCCTCACAGCGCCATCCTCGTGGTGTCTCCCTTACAGCGGTGCCCTTATCACAACGGCATCACTCCTGTTTATTACGGCCATTCAACACGACCCATTTGCTTCCGCCGCAGTTTGGTAACTCTCTGACCAGCCCTGTCACCTCACCGCATAGCCCATACGACAGTCTTCGTAGCACCTATCTCCTCAATTCTCCTATTGTCACTTATAGCAGTGTCCCCTGATAATTCGCGACATATCCCAAGCCCTCAATTCACTTCTCCACCCAACCAATGTCAACCATGACCGCTGCTAACTCCTCATATGATATCTTAGAGGTTCTATCTCCCTTGCCTCATTCGGTTTTTGCTGAGAATTTTTGTAACACCCCAAAAATCAGACTAGTGACTGAAATGAAAGTTTATGAAATTTAGTGACTAATTTAAGAAAAATGGAAAAGTTCAGGGACTTAAATATGAATATTTTAGTATTGGATTAAATAGTAAATATGGAAGGAGTGAAGGGCATTATGGTATTTTCAGCTTAAAGGATATTTTATCTCCTTTATTAATAGATAAACAAGTGGGAATTGAGAGAGATATCTGGAAGCTTATTTCTTCGCTTTCTTCTTCTTCCCGTTAGCTCCAGCTCCAAATGTGAGTTAAGATTTAGCTCTTTATTTCTTGGATTTTAAGTTGGGTTTTGTTCTTTGAGTGCTATTTAAGCTTAAGAAAAGCTTAAGTGGTCTTA